GAGAGAGAGAGAGAGAGAGAGAGAGAGAGAGAGAGAGAGAGAGAGAGAGAGAGAGAGAGAGAGGAGTCTCTCTTCAGTGGTGTGTCGATTTGCCACTTCGCTTGTAGCTTTCGGCACGTCGGCGCGCCGCTCTGTTGCCACGTGTCATGTGATCTTCCACCCATCCAACACGCTGCGAAGGGGTTAACGATCCTACATCCATAGCACGGGTGGTTTATGCAAGTAGATGATTCAAGATCTCGGCAAGCTCACAAAATAACACTCGCAAAGAACAAGCATGTTCCTGTGCCATCATGGAAACCAACACGCCGTGTTTCCTCGCCTTTGTTCGTTTTTCCACCGCCACTGTTCGCCACGCGCCAACCACACGAACTCTTTTTCACGAACAAAATTCACAGTGCATTAGGGTTCGAGCAGAATCGCACAGAAGTCATCTCCGCGATTGGTCGTCTGCAGGCAAAGTAAGCTTGTCGTCATGAGCTTGCTTTGATCGTAAAAAACAATCAGATGCTTCGTCAAAACCGTGGTGCAAAGACCAGTGCGACCGCACACGTGTCGCAACGGACAGTTGTATCGACCAGAGTGCACAACCGTAGTCGATGCGGGACGAGGTTCTCACTGCACTCTGCCACGTGGACCGACGGAGGTTCTCCTCCAGCCGCATTGAGTGCTCTGCGGTCCACGTGGCGCCACGACGCGAACCTCGTTCTGCATCGACGACATTGCACGGTATCGCACGCGACAAACTACCAAACGCCTGGTCGATGTGAACGCAATAAGAAGGCGAGAAAAGTTGCCGCAGTTGTGCAATGTCGTAGTTGCTGAACGAGGTACGCACCGTGCCGCCATGAGGATCGCAGAGCACTCAACGTCGCTGGAGGAGAACCTCCATCAGTCCAGTTGGCAGACTGCGGTGAGAACCCCGTCCCGGATCAACTGCAGTTGTGCACTGTGGTCGATAGAACTGTCGTCGATGCGGAACGAGGTTCTCGCCGTTGTCTGGCACGTGGACTGACAGACGTCCTACTCCAAACACGATGAGTGCGCTGCGGTCCACGTGGCACCACGGAGCGAACCTCGTTCTGCATCGATGAAAGCTCGCAATTGGGCCAGCAGTCTGGTCGTTGTTGACTCGTCTGAGCCTTTCACGAGCGAAGTTGTGGGAGGCATGTGACGTGGCCCGCCGGGATCCGATCTTGCACACGTTCCTTCTGGCAAGCATACGAAGTTCGGATGTCGGCGGACTAGCACGACAGCGATCCCTTCATCTCTACCAGTGAAGTTGTGGGAGGCATGTGACGTGGCCCGCTGGGATCCGAACTCGCACACGTTCCTTCTGGCAAGCACACGAAGTTCGGATGCGGGCGGACTAGCACGACTGCGATCCCTTCATCACAACTGCTCGATATATGCACAAGTTGATGACCGCAATTTCCACCTACCCCATTTTCATGACATTCGGATCGGGGCGGACTTTAAGAAATTTGTGCGCCCGAATCCGTCCCTTCGCCGAACCCTGATTCGGCCGCATCTAATGTTGCTGCCAATGCCAAGACCCTCTCTGCTCTCTTTGTCGACAGTGCATGTGGCTAGCCTCGAAGACTTTCCCCCTCAGCCCTCTAAATGAAACACCGCTCGAGCTCGCTTTGCCGAAGGTGATGAATCGGTGTTGGTAGGGGTCCGTTTGGGGTCGCGCAACTTATTTTCAATTGTTCTTTTTTTATTGATTCAATAGAATGAAACTTTGTACATAGGTATCAAAATAAGAATAAACATAATTATTTATAATTTATATATTTATAAGTTATATATAATCAATTCTTTATATTCATTATATCTTATTAGATTAGTGTCCGTTGGAGGATAGCACGCACAGGGAGTCTGGGCAGTGGTGGATGCACCACCTCACAAACCGGCTCAATTTGCAGAAATTTTACACAGTGAAAGTCTTTTTCTTGAAACTTTAACTCAAATTTTAAGAAACAAAATTAAAAAACAACCTTAGAGCGGCAGAGGCTTCCGTCTGTGCGGCCTAACGTAGCGTTCCTTGTGTGCACCCGCTGACACTCCCTTCCAATGACACCGATCTCGCGAAAAACGGTTCGTTGTTGATCCCGCACCCGCCAAGTTCGGATCCCGACGAACTTTGCGGCTCCACGTGATTCTGACCGTCATTTTCGACGTCTTGGACTTCCACGTGCGTTTTCATTGGCGGAGGCCTGGTCGCGCGCAAAAGTGCTCGCCTTGTGAGCTGCCCTCAAAGGGGTTTATTGGGGTTGGCGACGGTGTCGGCGGCCGGGTTGTGTGGTGATGCATCCACCACTACCCTTTGTTCTGCGCGTGCTTTCGTTCAACGACAACAAAGCCTTCCTTCTGTGCGCCCAAACAAAGCGTTCCTTGTGTGCACCCACTGGCGCTCCCTTCCACTGACGTCGGCCGCGCGAAAACAGGTTCCTTGCTACTCCAGCACCCGCCAAATTCGGATCCCGGCGAACTTAGAGTCTCCGCGTAAATCTGACCGTTATTTTCCACAGCTTGGACTTCCCCGTCCGTCGTCAAAAGTGCTCGCCTTCTGAGTTGCCCTGAAAGGGGTTCATTGAGTTTGACGTCG